GGCTTAATTGATTTTAATCAGAGCTCAGCTGTCGAGCTATATCGGTCGTATCGGAAGTTTCGCCGTATCCAATATCTTTTTCTTCTCCTGCCGGAAACTTCGTCGGGAAGGAAAGTTGCCGCTACTCTTCTCGACACTTTGAAAACTAAAATAGGGCGATCTGGGATATCTATTATCCTTAACGCCCTGCGCGTCTTTTTTTTTCTATCTCCCTTCGAAAGATCTGTCTTACGCGTACCGGCGCAAAAATATTCTAATACTTAAGTGGGCTAATTAACTTTACCCGGAAAATCCTTTTTATTTAAGATTTGACGGGAGTTGAACTTCGGCCGCACTTAATTGAGTTTTATTCCGAGCCCTTTGCTCGCGCAGAGCTTGCCACAGGCACGAGCAGCCATCCCCTCGCCCTTCCTCAGACTCTCACTCGTCCTATCCGCAGGAATTTTCCTCGTTGCTCGTCGGTAGTTAACCATGTTTTTTTTTTATTTTTTTTTTTACCAACCTTACCGCGTTCCTGCCGCCGCCCTTACGAGAGATTAGTTAGACTCCGGATACCTTTATCTACGCTAATTTTTACGCTGCCCGAGAAAGATTCCTCGCGAGATTCCACGTGTCTTCAGTCATGAATAGAAGAAAAAGAAGAAACACATTGCGGCAATGGGCGTTCGTCTTAAGCGATATAACTAATTTCATCCGGAACATCTTGTATGCCCTACCCCGTTACGACTCGCCCTGGAAGTCGAACTTTGAACTTAATCGAATTTGGTTTCGTGCTGATAGACGCGAGTTTTGTTTTCTCTCTCTCCCTCTCCCCCCCCCCCCCTCTCTTTTTCCCTTTCCCCTTTATGTCTGCCTGTCTCTTCTCCTCGACAACATTGGTATCCCGCGCTTCCCGCGCGTTTTCCACCGGGATTTTCCCCGTTGTTCGGTTATCGATCCCTATTGCCCCTTCGTCCCTTGCCTCGCCTCTCGTAGCAACCTTCAGATAATACTGCCTGCCGGCACTTTTCCGTCGTCGTTCATGCGATGTTAAACGCGTGCGAAATCGACTCGGACGAAGTCACTCCCGCGGGACAATTTCGCGAGAGTATATTTTGCAGAGCGCTACTCCCGAATCTTCTCGAGTTTTTACGCCTCTTCCCACTGAAACTGCCGCGCCCATCCTCTCGCGCTTGCCCGATGAACGTCTTCACAAATCCCTTTCGATCGTTCTTGCATATCTACTCTAGTAGATGTCTCAGAAAAGAAGCAAGACGAATCCCTTCTTCTCCCTAGCGATCGTGTAATCCGAAAATCTCATGATCTAGATTTTTGTACTTAATTAGTATCAAATATCCTGATTTTATTAATACAGTCACAAATTAAATTTTCAGAGTGAAATTATGCATAAATATCATTATCAATTTTAAAGATCAGATTCTAAAAACACATTTAATAGATATAAATTACATGATCCGAAGTATCTTCTTCTAGTAGCTATATTTCTGTGGAATCTGCATGAGAATATCTTTTTAAATAGAAACAGGAACAGAGGAGGCACTTTGTGATACGTACTAGAGACGAGTTACAATTCTTTTTAATGTTCAAGTAATTTAGTGACACGTTGATCTACTGAGATGTGATAGTGAGTTTCGTAAAGTGAAACACATTTATGGATGAGTAGGTTACCGTTTTGAATTCGCGCGACGTTTCCATGTCGTGATTCAATTTCCGTTTCTTCATTTTCATTAGCAACGTTGTCTATAGAATTGCTTACGACGTTACTTCGAGGGGCCGTTGAAATATCCTTTCGACTAACTCTTTGATATGCACGCAAACAGCTTACAATGAGTTAACATTTAGCTTCTTCTCGATGTCAGTAACACCAATAACATGGAAAGAATTAAAAGGCGAAGGAAGGAAGCTTATTAAAAATTCTAGCATTATATGTGTTATGTTAATATGTTAATTAGTTGTTAATTATTTTTATGACGTAAATTCAACAATTATTACATTGAGAACAATGTCTTTGCAACTATAATTACATATTATTATAATTCTAGTGCTATAATTCTAATTGCTATAATAATTATAAGTTATAGTTAAATTATAGCAACTATTTTTTATAGTAATAATAACTATAATTAGTCATTTTTGGTGCTAATTACATAGAGGTTTGAGATCTGTTTTAAAATGAGAGGAAGTAGCTCTTATAAAAAATATTTCAAATGAAAGTTGTTTAATTTAAATGGAGATAAATAATGATAAAATCAACTAAATAGATTTTTTTAGAAAATCATATGTGTATGGATGTAACTTTGAAAAATTGTATTTTATTAAAAAAATAATTGTCCCTCTTCAGATCACACAACTATTATTTGAAAAATTTTTTTATAAAAATCATTGTTTATTATTTTAAAATTGGTATGTGGGTAGTTTTAGACACTTTGTATATATTTATTGATAAAATTATACATATATGTAATTATTATTGGTAGCATTGTAGTAGTAATAACTGTAATTATGGTAAATTATGATCACAAATACCAAAAACTTTTCTCTCAGTGCAATAAATGGATTCCAAACATGGAAAATACATTTAAAAGTAAAACAATTACGTCACACATGCCAACAGTTGTGCTTTAAATTTTGAGTAAACGCAAAGTTATATTATTTGTTGTTGGTAACAGCATTATTCGATTAAAGCAGGTGTTAGAAATGATGATATAAGCCGTATTGCCAGTTTAAATCGCTCCATAAGCGATACGCGTACATATGCTACGATTGACGGTGATATTGCGGCGCACATATCTTTTATGTGTCATTTCTTCTCTCGTTATGGCCACTTATCGCTTTAGATGGCTCACACTGTATACTTCATTATATTTCATTTCGTATGGACGTGAATGTCAAACGAACTGCACGGTCGAAGTTTGAAATTGTTGTTTGCGCGGAAAAAAAGATTTTTTTCTTCAAATTGATATTAACCGTAACTATATATGTAACTCAAAGAAGAATCTATGAAATGCCGATAGATTATTTTTACAATTAGAAGCGTGCTTTTTGAATCATATCATAAAATTGAGTTACCGCCATAGTAACATTCACGGTACAGGTTCGAATTCTTTTTTATTAATATTTTACTGGCAGTTCACCTTCCACGTTATTCTTTCGCGTCGCTGTTCGTTCCAAGCGAATGAAACAACGTATGGTCGAATAACTCCATTTGCTCGGAGGTTGTACTAATTATGAAATAAACGACCGCCGTGAATATTACGCCATGAAAATTCATATGAGGACTTAACATACGTTATATGAGTACTTCATCCCCTATCTTAATATAGCTTTAAAAGCTACATGTCATATATTTATGTTTTCTCTTTTTCTTTATTATTTGTTAGCTTTAGAATGAATATGATAGGACAAAGATATCAGTTTTAATTATTAATTTAGTTTCGAGAAAACTTTTAGAATAATCATTATTAAAGATATGTTATATTTGGAATATAAAAAGAGTTGAAGATTAAAATATAAAAAGTCGTACTATGAAATATTTAAGAGTTCTTTCAAAAAGGCTGTGAAAAAGGAATTATATAGTTTGAATTTCTTTAAAAACTGCATGGCAAGTTGATATCGCAAATGTACATGTCTCGTCTGTTTTAGCGGATCGAGGATAAAAGGAGCGAGAACGGTGGACGATGTATATACACGCGGCACGCATATCCACGTGAAATTGCGTGTACACGTCGCGGACGCCTGGCGAATTCCCTCGTGCAGGCATGTCCAATCATTGGTGTAGGAATTAGAGTCTCGGTGCACACATACCTATACCCTCCTTCCCTGGTGTTCGTCCATCCCGGCGCACTCCACCCATCTACACTTGGTTCGGCAAATTAATGAACAGTGTCAACGTCGGCGGCGTCGCTACGCACCGCGCATACGGGATACGTTCATAAAATTCGCTGACGAATCAGGCGCATTTGGATAATTTCGTTATCCCGCCGCAGCCAGAGACTTTCTGCGTGATGAAACCTTATTTGGACACACAAACACATACATACATATACACCGGACCCCGCGGGACTCACGGGTGCACGTGCGTTTACGTGAAATCGAATCGTAATCGGATTTCTTCGTTCACTTTGACTCTTTGCGGTTTTCGAGCTTCCAGATATTTCGGGCTATGAAATCCGATTTGTTTTTAGGGCGCAAATGAGATTTTATGCAATAAGTTTCCCCATCGGAGAAAAGAATTTTAAAAGTTGGTCTTTTTAATCAAGATCTTATTGGAGGTCTCCCATTTCTCCTGATCTGTCAATTAGTTTGGTAATTAAATCTTAAGTAGATTCTTTCATAAAATCTTTCATAAAACTCCACTCTTTTCTCTCGTAAGTATAATTGAAAGACAAGAACGTTAATATAAAAAAAAATTTTATATTTTTGACCCTCAAATTGAATTACGTAGACATCTCTTCGAAGATTACAAATTCAATATGCGACACACACTCCGTAGCTTCGGTTTAAATAAAGAAATATCTAAGACAACGCGAAAGAATTGCAAGAAAATATCAACGTCGTTGGATTAAAGTATCCTTGACCGACCCAGATAACGATCCCTCTTTTTCTCGTTCCAGGCTAGCGACGCCGTGGTGGCTACGGTGAGATACCGACGAGGACACCGAGAAGATGTGGAAGACGGCAATGGCATGATCGCGCTGCGGGGATAGTGGGGTTGAAAATCGGCGCTTGCCCGGTGTGTCACAACTCTCTCCGACTCTCGCCCCTCGATCGGGCGTCCTACCAGAGATCTACTGTCCCTATCTTTTCCCCCCGTTCTCTACGTGTACTGTCCGTGGAGTTTCGCCATATCCACGTGCGTGCACGTCGCGCGTACGCGTACGCTGGTCACGCGTAATCACGCATACAGACGCGGTTTCAGGGCAAAGAGTGAGAGGGAGAGAGAGAGAGAGAGAGAGAGAGAGAGAGAGAGAGAGTGAGAGAGAGAGAGAGAGAGAGAGAGAGAGAGCGCGCGTTACTAACACGGTACGCGCTTGCGCCCGCGGTGTGCAGAGCGGAGCGGCGCTGCTTGATGGGGAGCGTAGCGCTCGGTGGGGAGCGCGCGACTTGGTGGGGAGCGCGCGTCACCTGTCGCGACATCAGTGTGACGGCGAGCGTCAGTGGGTGCGGACGATTGATACGTGCGCGATTATAGTTGTCTCCTCCGTACGAAGAGGCCTTACGGGATCGGTCGGAACGGCGCTCGCGCGTGGACGCTTGAACGCGTGAACGCGTGAACGCGAGTGCCGGCTGGTGAAGACTTTCGATCCTTTTTTTTTTTTGTTTTTCGCGCGTCCACCACGCCGTGCGCCGGCGCGCGTGCCTCGAACGTGAATGTGCCGCTTGGCCGCTGCGGGGCGGCCGACCGTCCTCGGTAAGACATGCGTGCGGCGGGCCGCCGGTGGACGACCGTGGATGCAACGACCGCAACGGGGAACGACGTGGTCACGTCGCACGTGACTGCCGCCGTGGCATCCGTGTACTTCCCGTACTCGGCGTAGTGAGTGTTCGCAAGTTGGAGAGAAAGTAACGCGACGCGCGTACCCGAGATAGCGCGCCGCGACGTCGCCGGGCGTTGTCGTCGTTCGGCCGAGAGAGAGCGGTGCTCCAGCGCGCGCGGAGCGCAGTGTGACGGTGCGTGTCCGCGATCCCCGCCGGAATTTCGTTCCCTTCCGTTCTTCTCGCGAGTGCCGTTCGTGGTGGTTCCCGGTGAAGGCCCGCGGAGAAAACTGCGAACCCTGGCACTACGTCATCGTTCCGTGCGCCGCTGCGACATCATCATCGCGAGAAGATGAGGCGCGCCAGCCTCCGCGTCGCCCCCAGGATGCAACCAGGATTTCTCTTCTGCTGGTGCGTCATCGCGACGGTTACTTTCGCCCTGGCTGCCTGGCAGGAGAACGTCAGGCCGAAGATGTACGTCCAACTAGGTGAGTGATCACTTGTGATTAGTGCCACGCAGTGACGCATAGTGTAGTTCTCTCTATGCCTACTTTCGTCCTTCTCTCTTCGTTATTTCGTGCTTGTGATACGCCCCAGTGTTTTATGTGGTGGATCGAGGTATTTCTCAGCGCTTGTGCAGCTCTCGATATCGCCATCGGATTCAATGGTGTTACTTGAATACTCCAACGGTGAATAAAATGCCTCCGACATGAATTAATAAGGGGATTATTTATGGCAAGAATTAAATAATATACTGAGAAATGGTCAAGAAATTAATTTCCTGCGTTCAGAGATAAATATTGTGGTGGCACTGTAAAGCTGACAATTATATTTATTTTTTACATGTAGAATTATGTACATGGTTGGATAATGTAATACAGTTGATTAAATTATTTTATAATTGCAATAACTATAAAAATTTATTCAACTTACACTTAAATTCATAATATTAAATTATATTCAATTTGAGTTATTTTTTTAATTAATTTTTTTTAGATCACCACTGCTCCAATATGTCATTAATTTCATTAAAACGATGAAGTTGAATAATTTAACCGAAGAAAATTTATTATTAATCCCTTCAGACCTTGTCTATATTGCAATGTACATTAAATTTCAACATATCCATTGAAATTATTTACATTTATTCTACATCATCTGAGATGTGCATAATAATGTACATGTTGGAAAAATAGTAAAGATTAAAAAAAAATTTTTTTTTTTTTTAGTATAAATTACTTATTAAAGTGCTTTTGAATTGAATTAAAAAAAATTGTTTTAAATATGATTTCATTAAAATCAGATCTCTGAAGGGGTTAAATTTGACTCAAATTTAGTTTATTATTTACTAAGTGCATCAGGACGTTAATATGGATGATGATTACTTTGAAACTAACTACAGAAATGAATTGATTTATACATTTTGACACATATGGAAGTTAAAAATAACAAAATGTTATTTAACTCGAGATTGAGTTATCTAACAGCGTATGTGTATTTTCTACATATAAAACTTGTAGTTATCATTTTTATAGTTGCCAACGCTATCTTTTTTTTCCGAGTATGCGGGAAAGAAAGCACAATCGCAGAAGAGATAAAAAAATATTCAAAAAGAAATGATGACGGTTGGGAATTTTGTGCCATTGTTGCCTTTATTTGACTTTCTGTCAAGCTGTTATTCGCGGCTAGTCATTGTTCAAACATCGATATTATGCACTTTGTACTTTGTAGATCGCCTAGTAACAGCGAAACCACAAGGGTTAAAGGCCCTTTCGCGAAGTTCAAAGTCGCATATTCTCGGAGGCCGAGATATTTGCTTACGGGTTATACGTAATGATGGTGAGGTTGCAACCGGGTCATACACCTTCTCCCTCTCGCGGACAGGATTCTCTCTTGTCGAGAAAGGGTTGTTTCCGAGTCGGTGATTGTTAATCCGCGTTTTAATCAACGGTATAACCGGACCCTTTCTACTGACCTGGTATGGAAAAAGAATAAAAAGATATCGATCGGATTGAACTTGTTAACCCCTCTGTCAATGCATGGATTCTCGTGTTGTGTACACGAATATATCGAATTTTAAATAAATTAATAGAAATAATCCTATTTACGGATGAAATCGATCTTAGTGCTTAATAATACTGAAATGCAAATTTTTGCAAATACATTATTTTAGTTTTATAAAATGCGCGTCGCTCAGGTTTGCTGGACTTGCAACGTAAGTCTCAATGTAATTTAAGACATTAATTTCAACTTTAGTCAGCAAACTGAAGTTGAAAGTAATAATATCATAAATTATTTATTGCGAAAAATATTGATTGAAATATCCCAGTCAGACAATTTTAAGTAGCAAAAATTTCTATATTTTTCTGTGAATTTCATTATGATTTTTTAAAAAGGATTCGATTAATTTCCGCTTTTCGTACAACAAAGAACAGTTTTGCACAAACTGTCGTTTTCATTTTTCAGTGGAAACGTTGTGAAACACGGTAATGTTTCGTGAAAAATAATTCATTGACGAAAGGGTTAAGATACGAAGTATCGATTTGTCGCGGCTGAGTTCTACTTCACGTTCATCGTATCGCAAGTGCGAGACTTACGGCAACGCGAGGCGAGCCCGCAGAAATTTTAACACGCCGTGCCGCGTCGCGCGACAGACTTTTGTTTTATTCAAATTCTCACCAGCTGATTTGGACTCTAGTAATTCATCTCCCTCCCGAGTAAAGAGAGGGACAGTCGCTTCCGCGTTATTCATGTAGCTCGCGGCAATTTTTCACATATTCGTCATGTTCTACACCTGGAGTCGGGCGAACGTTTTCACATCGAATATATGAATATTGAATATTTGAATACTGGGCGTTTTTGCGGAATAAAATTATTAGTGCGGCGAAACGAGAAAATTTTTTTCCCTGGAGTTATCCGAGTTTGATTTGACGGCTGTAGCCGTGTAACCGCTTCATCGTGTGGGTATTCCGATGGTACAACATTCTGATATACTGGGATAATTACGATATATCTCTGTACTCGAAATCACGATTATTATTATTATTATTATCGATAATAGATTGTTAAATTGAACATTATCATTATGTAAAATGACAAGTCAGATGACAAGGATATTATGATGTGATATACATAATAAATGATAAGATAGTAGTTATTTCAGCATATAGCTGTATAAAGAAATATTGGTGTATCCACATAGAGATCTTTATCATAAAAAATAAGTTATTCTCGTTTATATTTGCTCTGCAAAAATATAGATATTGATCTCGTTTCTTGTTAGAATCGCATTTATTAACTTCCCTGCGATATTTGCTTCAGCGGATATTATAACAGAGATTATTAACCTCAGTTTCTCGTAAGATAAACAGGAGGTATCAGTATATATAAACAATATTATAAACGGATTCTCTATTATAAACTTCTCCTTGTTTACCAAAATTACAAGATTCGATAACAAGGCTGCGTACAAAATGGAGGTAGATTTCCCATTAGTTTTACTAACGTTTCACGTAGTTTTTTAAAAGAGCCCTTTCATCGTCCTCTAGGGATCGTTTCTTCCTGTAGTTGTTCAAAGCGACGACGCTTTTGTTACCCCCTCGCGCACGTAACTAATTCAAACGGACACCGTCAATGGTAAATTGGTGCCTGTTATTGAGAATCTGAATCCAAAGGAGGTGAGGGCGTAAAAGAGAGAGACGTCGAGGGGGAGGGGAGCGGAGCAGTGTATAAAGTGTCCTACATCCGAAGCACTCGACCTTAACGGCGCTCCGCGTGTTTCGTACGTTCCGCGTAGAAGCGACGCCCCAACATCCATCACTCTTTCCGCGACGGTACGATATCTCGACGCGGGGAAGGAACGAAATAAATTGCTCTGAAGTGGCTGCGCCGCTCCATAGCGCAGGCACATGCTCCACTGTTGGTACACCTTGACGTTATACCGCGAGCGTGAGTGGGCCGAACGATTTGAATGATAGTCGCAAGAATCCCCGAGCGAGTATTTAGAAACTCTCCGTTTGGCCCGCTTGCTATTTTCCGCACCTCACGGAAATATGCATTTGGGGCGCGCCATTAACGCCTCTCGCGCACAAATAAACATCTCCTTTGAAGACCGCGCTCTGAATTTCCTTCTCGATTAATCCCTAAAGACGAGATAAAAGGAACACGGAGCAATATATTCGAAAAAAAAATTAAATAACTCCAGGAGAGGAAAAGAGTTGACTTGAATTTTATTGAAAACGCGTGGTCTCATTAATGAATAAATTTCACTCTAACCGCGCAGCTTAGTTTGAAACTTAGACGTAAATAGGGTTTTATTCATGGCATTCAATAGCGATAGCGAATTTTCAACTCTCAACTCTGGAAAAGCGACGGAACTTTGTACCCAGATGGCCGAAGTTGGAAACCTGCATATCTATTCCCGCTGGGCTTTGAAGATAAACATTTTTCTTTCTAAAGTGTTTGGAACATGAGCAACGGTGGCGTGTTTCTCGACGCACCTAATGTATTAATAGATTTTTTTTTATATGAACACTTGTAATTTATTTCATGAGTTGCGCGTCATTTTATTTTACATTTTATTTTGTACGATACGACGGAAGCGTAAACGTTGCTTCAGCCGTTTCTCGGCTCTCGGATGGACCGTAAGTCGGATTTTGGCGATCCTAAATGTAGATAAATGGCGCGTTTCGAAAATTGCCGCGTAAACGGTGACGTTTTCGCGAAATGTGCAGTCTCGGCGCGTATAATGCGAGCATTATTCAATGTGCACCGGTTACGACGTGGCGTATAACGGGAATGGTGTTTTTCTTCGAGATTACGTGGCGTGAATTAGTTATCATTCTCAACATCGTCGCTCTCTCCTCGTCTAATACTACGGTGCGTGCCCTGTGCCCGAGGCAAATTAAACGTTACATTTCACGCGCGTTATTATCGCGGTTGTCTCATCGTGAAATTTCTTAAATCATTCCGAATGTACCGCGTGAAATGTGGATTAATCGCTAGAATTAAGAACCGCGCTTTACCACTGTAATTACTTGAACCGCGGGAACAGATGGCCATTAGTCTGAGGTTCTACGAATTATGTTCGCTCGTTGATCACGTTTTTGGTACAAGCCGTATTGCTCGAAACGTTAGCTTTCTCCCGTGTGTGTCGTTAAACTCTTTAACAATCTATCCTGCAATGTATTATACTGAAAAAAAAAAAAAAAAAAAAAATTTATTACATCTTACATATTTTTTTTAAGTATTAAACATTTACAGTAAATAAATATTTACTCAATAAAAAAATGATAGTAGGATTAATATTTTTTGTATCAAATATGTTTATATTTAGTAAATATTTAGTTATTATTTAAATAAATATTAAAATTTTGTATATATTTTTTCATGTATTCATAAATGGACTATTTTTCATGGAGCTGTGGATATTTTGAAACATAATAAACAATCAGATTTAATTTTTTCGACGATACAAGTGTCTCTGTCT